TCTGTATGATTACTTGGAAACACCATTGATTGAAATGTTTTATTGGGTCCAAAGTAGGTATTTCTCATTATTGCTTGCTTCCCTCCAGGTTTAACATTCATATTAATAGCATTCAATCCATCTGGTGGCATTGTACCATGATTGGTGCTGTTATCAAAAGCAAATACACCAATTGCATTAGGATGTAATGCATTAAAGATTGATATTGCATAGTCAACAACTTGTTCTAAAAGATGATCTGCCATAATAATATGCCACTTTATCACATTGAGATTAGATTTGACAAGTTGATCTAAAAAAGGAATTTTTTAAACTTACATTTATTGGATTTTAGCATTTAGATTTCTTTTATCATGTTTTTTTTTTAAAAAAAATTTTTTTTAATATAAAAATTTTTTTTTGTATTACTTTTCAATTGACTGTTTATTTGAATATCTGTTTTATAGTCCAGTTTACATAAGAAAAATGTTAGACACAAATTTTCTCTTACAATAGTTAATCCTTTCTTCAAAATACTTCTAATTGTGCTGTAATTCTTGGGTTCCATAGTAGACCTAAACGAGTTTCATATTAACTATTTTGTCTAGACAAATATCATGGTCACATTACATTGTAACGCAATTATGATGCTAAACAAACCTGAAATTCTTGGTAATACCAATCAATATTCACTGTTTGGTTTTGTTGCAGCATGCCCCATATCATGTACAAATAAGGTTAAATGGGGGATATAACGGAGTCAAAAAATTGGGGATAGTAATAGGGATATAACTCAATGGAATATAAACGTGCTAAAGTTTATATAGGGAAATCCTGTCACAGCTCATATGTGGGATTTGATCAAGGTTGGGATATAAACAAGGAGGGATATAAAAGAGGTGTAGATTCGGTTAAGTCATGTGAAACAATAAAAAATACTCGTAGCAGAGAATTTAGATGACTTGAAAGATTTTAAATTTTGTTCTTTGATATATGCTATGTTTTTGATATTTTTTTATTCCTTTAATCCAATACCACCATTAAAAGCATATCTCAACAGAAGACTCTTAATATTTTTATAATAATAAAAACAAACAAGTAAATTTACTTTTATATCAAGAAAAATTATAATACAAATTGTCTGCAATGAGTTCATTAAAGAAATGAATCATGTGAAATTGAAATTTTATAATTAAAACTTTTGGGGTGGGATGTTTGGATACTAAATTCTGATTAAGTAATTTGAAATTCTCAGATTTTGAATTCACAATAATAGTCTAAAGATAATCATAAATTTATATATAAAAATTACATTATGTGAAATATTAAATAAATAAATAAAAAATAAATAAATAAATAAAAAATAAATAAATAAATAAATAAATAATATTAAATTTCTAAATGTCCATTTTCTAAACGGTATTTAATCAAATCATCAATCGTAATTAATTTCAAGTCATGCTCATCAGCAAATAAGCGACAATCATCACGACGTGCCATTGATCCATCATCTTTAACTAATTCACAAATAACACCAACAGGCTGTAATCCGGCCAATTTACATAAATCTAAATATTGAAAAGAGTTAAATTGTAGAAGAGAGAGAAGAAAGAAAGGGAGAGAGAAAGGTTGATTCAGAAATTTACCAATCGATGCTTCAGTGTGGCCTATCCTTTTTAAAACACCTCCTGGAACATATCTTAATGGAAATATATGACCAGGTCTATTAAAATCATTAGGATTTGTTATATCAGGGTTTGCTAAACACCTAGCAGTTAAAGCTCTATCATGTGCTGATATACCTGTTGTAGTATCTAATAATAATCATCATTATAATTATAAAATAAATATTATTCTAATAGTTGTTAATAAATTATAAATATAAATAGATCATATACATAATTAATAGTAACAAATATAATGCTTAACCATGTTTATAATCAACAGATATTGTATATGCAGTTTTTAATTTTTCAGTATTATTATTAGGTACCATCAATGGTATTTCAAGTTGATCTAATCTTTCAGGTGAAGTTGGTACACATATTAATCCACTATATTTAATAATATCAGTAATGTTTTGATGTTAAAAAATAATATGTTCTAAGCAAACTTGTGATTATATTTTTATATATATTTATTACCTTGTATATTTAATCATAAATGCCATTTTTTCAGCTGTCACTTTTTCAGCCGCAATTATTAAATCACCTTCATTTTCGCGTTCTTCATTATCAACTACTAGAACAAATTTTCCCTCAGCTAAAATAATAAATAAAAATGAAATATTGATTAATTTGGTAAAATCAAAAAAATTTTTTTTTTATATAATGAATTTTAATTTTTCACCAAAGTCTTTTAATGCCTCTTCAATGCTATCAAAATGAATTATAGAATTTCCATTTTTAACTTTGGTTTTTTTTATGGTAGAACCATTAGAAGAAGAACCATTAGAAGAAAAAGATGATGATTGAAAATCAGATTTATTTGATACCATGTTTATTTTACTAACTGATTTGATTGATTAAAAAAAATTTTTTACATTTTTTTTTATTTTATTTTTTATATTTATATATAAAATAATAAAAAAAATTTGTAATAGCGGTGACACATGCTTACTAAACTCGAGATCAGATTTGTAAACATTTTTGTAGAACGAATAGTTTAAAAAATATATCAGGAGAACATTTATGAAATAAAGAAAGGTCATCCATCTCTTGGCCAAGATTATATAAAAAATTAGAGAAGAAAGATTATATTAAATACTTAATTACAGAACAAAAAGAAATTAATAAGAAAATGATTATGATTTAGATCTAAAGTTAGCAATTTTGAACATTGTAAAAGATAAAGTATGGAAAGCATCGTTATATAGTCAGTTCTTTTTTTACCATGTAATAGAAACATTTGATTCTGGGATTTGATTTCGACTTCGTATATAATCAGTACATGAATTGCATATTTGACAATTATCAGACACATAAATTACAGCATCAGTTCATATTCTATTTATTATCTTCAACGGATTATATGTTAGTATCATCAAAAAATTAGAAAAAATTTATATTCAACTACCATACAACCTGAATTTGTAAAAAAAACAGTGGGGGTGGTAAAATGGGTTATATTGTGACTAATGTTGATGATTCGAATACCATTACAGTCCACACTGCCTATAACGGATCTATAGGAGGTTGTAAAACAGAGAGCATAATGGACATTCGTTTTATCACTTGTGACAAAATCGATCATCGATCTTTTTTATATCGTGAGACTTGCTATTTAGAATAGAAAAAAGTCGCGTGACTGTGCACAAAACCCAAAATCTATTTTTTTTTTATATTAATATATTGCTTTGACTTTTCTTTATATTTTGGTAAAATTTGATCAATTTGATCAATTTGATTTCAATAAGTTACCTTAGAAGTAAAAGTTTAAGGCTTTTGTGATCTTGTCCGTCAGAATTGTGTCATTATTATTTATTATTATTATTATTTTTTTTTTTTTAAAAATATGAATGATAACATTTTACTTTATTAATAAGTCATTATTATACTTGTAGGTAAAGACTTATTTTATACTCTCATTATTATTATACTTTAAAGAAATAAGTATTTATTTTATATATTTGATAACTTATAACTTGTATTCAACTTTTTCCGATAGCACAGAGATCATATAATGGTTGTATCTTGATTTTTTTATGATGCATTTAAAAAACAAGAAGGATTTTTAAACAACAATAACAGATATACTTAGGGTGTAATTATAAGGTGGTGTATACAATTTAAAAAATGTATTTAAAATATATTTCTTTTATATTTATATTTATATTTATATGTATATATTTATATTTATATTTATATATTTACATTGTTTTATTTTTTTTTTTGGATTTTTAGACAAAATTTTTTGCGATTACGGGTAATAGTAATTTTTTATATTAATATTAATTATAATTTAGATTTGGAGAGATCTGCATTTTATTCCAGATCACGTGAATCCGTTATAGACAGTGTTGATTTATTATTATGTGTAAAAGTCATATGAAGTGATTTTCGGATACAACCCGTTATACGTAATAAAAAGTTTAATAAATAATATCCGTTATAGAAAGAGATTTCAAATAGTAAAAAATCGGGACCAAACTTTTAATCCTAATCCGCTATAGTAATAGAGAAAATCCGTTATAGACAATGTAGACTGTATGAATGTTTATAAATGAAGGTTCATGTAATCAAAAATTATGTTGTTTAAATATATCAAAAAATAATAATTTACATGAATTTATTATTATAGAATTATTTAATTTGTATCCATCGAGCACTTCATTCCGAGTATTTTTTTTACAGTTTAACTTGAATGACAAGATTTTTATGGATTATATATATATGATCTCTTTTTTATTATTGTATGCTAGAATTTCAATTAATCTATTAAGAAAATTGATTGATTGATTAATAAAATTAGCTAGCATACAAAAAATTCCCTCAAAAGTAATTATTAATTAATCTCTTTTTATGTATTATAAGACTAATGTCTATTAAATTTAAACAAATTCTATTAATTATATAATTAACTCTATTAATGTATATTATGTTATGATTTAAAATATATCTATTATATTATATTATAAAAAAATCATGAAACAGACATAATAATAATATTTTTATTATTATCATCATTATTAGTATTCTTGGTACTAGTTAATGAAGTTGATTTTCGTTTCTTGTTTCTTAGTTCTTTTAAACTTGCAAAAACAGAAACGCTATTGCTATTGCTATTACTTTTGTCATCATTATATTTCTCGTCCAAATATTTTTCTAATATTTCAGCTGCAACTTTTCCTCCATTATGTTTTAATTTTTCGATTTTTGGTTTATGCCTTTTTTTTGTATTTTTTGACATATTGTAAGCTTCTAATATATGTGATTTCCATTCTCCATTTTCAAATTTTTCTCTAGACATTTCTAAACTTATGCCTTGAAACTGCATTAATTTAAGCAAACCTAACTCTTCTATAAATTGAGGTCTTGGAACATAAATAAAGGGTTTTGAATGTCCAATACATTCTGAGCAAGTACCATATCCCTAAAAATAAGTAAAGGCAAAATAAATATAAAGATTATAAAGATATACATATACATTATAAAAATTTTGTATACTTACTAATTTACCCATTACAGCATCAGCTGCATTAGTTAAATCAGGTATATAAGCATCTTTTGGGCAATTGTAGAAATTTTCTGGTAATTTATCACATGAACCACCACAGACAATTGCAATCCAATTATCAGGTAATGGATTTCCCCATTTTTCTATATCAACTAAATTTTGTCCTCCAAATGATACCATTAAAACTTTATGTGTTGTAAATATTTCTTCTGGTATTCCAAGGTTTTTCAATACAATGTCTCTTGGTGTTTTGCTTTTCCTTACTACTAATGGCACATCAATAACTTGATTTTTCTCATCATTTTTATGGTTATTATCATTATTCTTATGATTGTAAAATCCGTTATTTAATAATTTATTTGGTTTTATTTCAGGATATAATTTTGTGCCTGAAAATGAAGGTATGGGAATATAACCTGGTAGCCTGATTAGTAATCCTGAATTTTTGTAATCTTCTATAACTTGTTCTACGAGTTTTTTGATAGTAATATCTAATTCATCTCCTTCGCATAACCCATTATACACTGCATCAAATGTAAAATTGCTAACAATCGCTGACGGTATTCCTGCTGTTGATGCAGCAGCACTATAATTATGATTTTTAATAATTTAATACCAAAAATAAAGTTAGTTAATTAATTAATTAGTATAGAATAATTTTTAATTTTTTGTTTCATTTTACCATGGTAAAAATGGCGCATCTGATAATACAATATCAGCTTTAACTTCTTTCAGCCAATTAGCTTCCTTTTCAATCATTTCCGGTCTATTCTTTATAAAAGTTATCAAATCATCAATTGTTCGTTGCCTATCAACTGTATATGCGCGAGGTTGTTGAACTCCAGAATCTATCAGTGCATGCCTATAACATGCACCTTTATCTATCGCACCTTGAAAAATAAAACGAGGAGCATTGGAAATTATGTACACTGTATGTTTACGAGATAGTGATAATATATCTGATGCTATTTGAACTACTCTTGTAGCATGTCCAAAACCTGAATAATAAAATGGCAAATAATAAAATTTGTAAATAATAATAATAAATTATGACAATGATGATAATAACACGGTAGATAAAGTTTTAAAAATTCCTCTTTCCCCTTTTTTTTTGTATACATACCATGACCTGAAACATAATAACAAAAAACAAAACTTTTTTGTTTATTATTATTATTATTAATTAATCTTTGTTTTGGGATTGGGATAAATTTTAAAAGGTTTTTTTGTGGCATATGAATTCTATTATTTTTTTAAAAAAAAAGAATTGGATAAATTGTGTGATGATGGTAATTTTTTGTTTATATGGAATTTTTTTATAAATGAAAATATAAATAGCGAATAAAAAAAACTTAAAAGAATTAAAAGAATGTGTATGTATTTATAATAACAAATAATAATAACAATAATTGTAAAAAGTAAAGAAAAGAAAAAGAACTTTAAAACTGTTTATATAAATAAATATGCTGCCAAAAATAGTTATAGGAGAATTTCCAAACGCAACAACGATCTACATTAATTGGTATTAGCATTAGTATTAGTTTAAGTACAGAATCCAAAAAATCCCAGACCCTGAATCTTTCAACTTCTATATTAATATTGATTATTATTACGGTTCTTTATCTTTATATGCACATATATGATTCCTCAAAGAAAACAGGGTTTGAGAAATTATGGAATTCAATTGAACGGAATTAATTATAATAATAATAATAATAATAATAATTATTATTATTATTGTGAGAATTAGAATTCCCGTTGTTGGTAATATCTCTCTAATTATGATGTAACACCTTTTATGTTACACTGAAATTAAAAATGTTCAATTACGGCAATTGTTAAAAATATATTCCACACTCTATTTTTATTTCTATCTATGATATATTTGTAATATGCACGTTTTAAGGGATTTTTTGAGAAGCTCTAATTTTATTCGATAATGTATTTCTTGGTGCAGATGACATCAAGGATATTCATAGGAATTTATTAGTGAAATCGGGTAATGTGACCATGTTAACATTTGCTGATTTCTAAAAATATGTTGAATCATGTCTTGTGTTTCAAACCGAAGAGTAAAGCAACATGATGATTTTCACATAACTATTTTGCCAATTTTAGATGGCATTCCTTATATATTTTACATTAATTTGCTTTACCATGAATAGAATCTCATTCACTTTGGATTATATGATAGTGATAGCATAAGCATTGTAATCTCTTGTTATTATGTCCCTTTAATCTACTCAACAATAAGGATTATATATATTCAGTCATGAAAAGTTTTCATTTCTGGATCAAAAGAAATGAAGTCAGCAACTCTATTCTATTCAACCACAGAAAATTTAGGGAATTTGTTATTGGTCAGTATCTGAAAGAAAGAAAGAACTGCTGTAATTTTAACCTGTAATGCTAATGGAACCAAAAATTAAAACCCCCTCTGATCCATGAACATCAAAATCCAAAGCAACTAGAAAAAAACTTTGGCAGCAAATTATTGTTGGAACATTAAAGCTTGGACACAAATGTCCATTTTTAATGATTATCTGGCAAATTTAATAGATCTATGAATAGCAAAATATTTCCATTTTGCTTTTACTAGATAATGCTCCAAGATGACAAATTAAAAGAGTTGAGGACATTTTTGTATAATGATATAATGATCAACATCAGAACACCTGCCTTTTCCAAAACTTTGTAAAGTGCTATGATGAATCATTAAAATTCTAAAATCATGGTTTTATATAAGCCAAACATTATTTGATAAAATATTCTATATTTTGTTTCTCAAAGTCTTTATTTGTCAAATCATGAGAATGCTGGGAGATTGACTGGACAAACTTTAATAAAGGCACTGAAATATATCCTGACAAATATGACCAGCACTTAATGTGGGAACATTTAACGAATAAATGCCCATGCAAATGATATTTTTTGGATGATGAAACAAATTCCTTGACAACTTCTAATTCTTCAAATGTACTTGTTGTCTAATAATAATAATCAAAATCAAAAGAAAAGAAAAATCATAATCAAAAAGGATTGAATGCTTTTTATGATTCAACAAACATTACACCTTGAACACAAAAGACAGTTGATCAAGCATTGACAAGAATGTTTGTTTGTTGTATGTTATCTTTTTCTTTGGTAGAGACCTTATTCTTCATCGAGTTTGTTAATCAATTTAAGCCTCATATAAACTACTTTCTAGATTTAAATTATCCAAAAATTTTTGTTAATGAGGAAGTGACAAGTGTGAATGTGTCACCGATTAAATTTTGGGAGAGCATATTTTTAATTGGTGATAACAATTATTTTTGTTTTGTGTGGATCAGAATGAATAGGTTATCAACAAATTGATTTTGGATTAGCGAATAATTTTGTTTAAAGAAGATAAAAGTTTTAAATAAAATAAAATATTTATTATTTTATTTATTTAGTTTTTCTTAGTCGAAACTAATTAACTTGTTAGAAAGTTACTTTACAAGTACATTGAATTCAAGCTCCTTATATACAATTCAATTAATTAGTAATTCTAATATTTCAAAATTGAAATTTCCGTTCAATATTGGAAATATTAGCGCAATTTTGAAATAACTTTTCAAAGAATATTGGAAAGACGATTCATCCTTAATAAAGTTAGATAAATTACGACGTTATACAAATAATTAATAAAAATAAAACGTATTACGAAGGTAGATAAAATAATAAAATAAGATAGAAATAAATAAAATACAATAATAATAAAAATTAAGAATTTTGGAATTAATTAAATTCGGCCAAAAGAGTGTCCAAATCTAATTCTGGTAACAAATGTAAAAGTTAATATTGAATTACTATCAGAAATAAAACTGTTAATTAATTTTTAGATTAAGCGCACACTAACATTTTAATTGAATGTTTTTTTTTTAATGAAATATCTAAATATGTCCATAGGTTTCTAGATTAAACAAACTATTATTGTTTGTTATATATAGTTGTCGGGGTCTGGTACGTTTCCCCGACAACCGTTTCCCCGACAGGACGTTTCCCCGACAAGACATTTCCCCGACAGGACGTTTCCCCGACAAATACATTTCCCCGACAGGACATTTCTCCGACAAGATTTTGTTAACTACATTTAATATTAATTGGCCTAACCGACTTAAACAGCTTAGTCTCCTAATGAATGGGTTAATAGACTTAAATGGTTTGATAAACTTAGCCGGCTATGGCATGACAGGGAAACAAATAAATATTGTAATACAAAATGTATTTGTCGGGGAAACGTCTAGGTACCTAGTTGTCACTATAGTTACACCATTGTTGCATAAAAAATCAAAAGGTATTCTCTTGAAAATTGTTTTTCACAATGATTTTCTTTGAAATATTCAGGATTCTGATTAAAACATCTAGTTAAATATTCCAGCAAGTAAGGATAATAGTAAACAAAAAGTTTTTGAAAGCAACCATAATATTAAGAAATTGATGTAGTGAGTGACATTGCAAGATTGCAAATTTCATCATTTTGTGCATGTCTGATATAATGTAATCTCATTTACATTGAATAGATTACAAGCGTATCCCAGTCTGCTGATAGACTGTATCTTTAAGTGTCAATTTTCAACAAATATAATTTTAAAAAAATTGGGTTTCTTTTATCCCATGCTTCTCAAAAATTATGTTTAGTAATCATATAAACATGATCGCGATCATGATCACGATGTTATTATCTTTATATACAATGCTTTTGAATTTATAAAGCAGTAAAAATGATTTTAACTATAATTGCTGCTATAAAAACAGGACTATTTATAGATTAGATTAATTCCTGAATTAACTTAAATTCTAAATCTAATTTTAACATTAATATGAACTTGTTTTTAATTTTGACTATTACCTTGATCAAAAATATGATTTTGATAAATAGAATTCCATGCATGTAATAAAATGTTAGGAAGTTGTAAAATATCTTCATGTCTTGCATGATTACAAGAGATTCTATATAATTCTTTACCAACATCATAAATTCTATTGACACTTTCTGGCGAAACCAAAATCTATTGCAACTTTAATACATGCAGTATAATTACAAATTTTGATACACACAACCTGCTGGTACGAAAATTTGGGTAAATCATTTATATGATAAAAATCCCAGATTGCTGCTTCTGGTTTTAATTGTTCATTGGTAACTTATCGCTAGGGTTTCTATTTGAATTATTAGTTTTATTATGAAATTTGAATTACATTGAAAGTTTATTTGAATAAATTTTTTAATTCTAAAATTTTTAATTTGAATAAAATTAATTATTCAAATAAAACTAGCAATTTGAACAAAATGAATGATAATAATAAAATCAATAATAATAATTTGAATAATTCAATCCAATTAAAATTTTTTTTCTTTATCAATCTATTTTTCCTTAATCCTTGAATATAGTGATAATAATAAATAGTAGTATGGTTGGCTCGGTCTAAAGACCTCCCATTACTGCGCCACGCGCTCAAATTTCAAAAAAAAATTGCGATTTCGTGATTCGTTCAAAAATGCAATAAATTTTTTTAAAAAAAGGGTTTCACGTGATTTTGACTAAAAAATTATTTTCCTTACTGCCAAATTTAGATATGATGGTCTAAATTTAGTAGCGATGATTAAAAACTAGTCTAAATTTAGAGATGATCCTAGCTCTCAAATTTCTCATGAGCATATAGTTGGCTCGGTCTAAAGACCTCCTAAGTTTTGCATAAATTTTAAAAGTATAGAAGTCACTTTCTGTCCTATC